AAACCTTAGAATGAGCACATACTTATACTAAGATTTCGGACTTGAAAATTACATTGAATTTTGATACAAGAATCTTTGAAAAGAAATAAAGTAGGCTACTTCTGTCTCCCACTTATCTTTATCTTCTTTTGAGAAAGTATCCTTCTTTTGAGAAAGTGGATTCCTTTTGCTTTTGTCTTCCACTTTAATTTGTCAAGATACTTGATTTCTCTTTTGACTACTTTTCATTCTTTTTGATGCTTTTCAGAAAGTTGATGCCAGATATCATTTTGACTAAAAGTGCAAACTGACTAACCAAACCGAACCAAACCAAATCAATTCGATTTAAGAGCAAGAGTTGTTTGATTTGAATTTAAATTCAACCAAACCGACTAATTTTATTTTACTTTCGGGTAAGGATCGAAACCGACCAAATCAAATTCCGTCTATACCTGTCAAGAAAGATGTGCGTATGGACATAATGGATTTGCTTTGCATTAATTTATCACCCAAGTGACAATTGACTATTAGCCTTTAAATAAGTTTGGTATTAATTCTTAACACGAGAATAAGTAAGTCGCCAGTTCTTATTAATATGTTAATTTTTTTGCAGTTAATTACTAGCATATATAATTATCATCCCACCTTTCACTACAGAATCAAGAAACAAAAAAATTATCTATCAGAAATTTAGATATTTAGCAATTACCCATTTAGTAGTAGTAGGTGAATTTTTAATTTTCTTGATTAAAACATAATTATTCTATTTTTCATTTTAATAATCTGCCTCCAAATTTCAACAGCAAGTCAGCAAAAAAGTCCAAAGTTGCTTCAGAGTCACAAGCCATTACACATTATCCCCAAAAAAAACCTGTATTAACGACAAAAAAAGTCATCATCTTTGTCTTGAAAAACTTACCAGTCAATAAGTAGAGTAGAAAAAGCATTCTTCCTCCATTCCCCCTCTTTCTCTAAAAAACCATGATATCCCATTTTAGAACAGATCTTGGAATAATATGTGCATTCATTATATGTATTTCAGCAGTGAAATCCTTTCATGAATCTGATAAAATAGCAAATTTGCCTGGTCAACCAAAGGTCAGTTTCCAGCAATATGCTGGATTCATTACCATTGATGAAAAGCAGGATAGAGCCTTTTTCTATTACTTTGTTGAGGCAGAAACAGAGCCTGCTTCAAAGCCTCTTGTTCTCTGGTTAAATGGAGGTATTTTAAGTGTGTGTTTAACTGTTTATGTATGTATTACATTATTTTCAAGAAAATGCTAAAAAAAAAATTTCTGTGAAAAAAGTGCAGATTAATCATTTTTTGGTATGAAAATGGAGTTTCTCGATTTTACAGGGCCCGGTTGTTCGTCTGTTGGAGCTGGTGCTTTTTGTGAGCATGGTCCATTTAAACCAAGTGGGAATGTTTTGGTTAAAAATGATTATAGCTGGAATAAAGGTACTCCACAGATTATAATTGTTATTTCATTTTTGTGGATTTATTTATGTGTGTCTTACATTTTGTATTAAATTTTGTATTTTCACAGGAGCAAATGTGTTGTACTTGGAGTCACCTGCTGGAGTTGGTTTCTCCTATTCTTCCAATAAATCTTTCTACGAATCCGTCGACGATGAAATGACAGGTTCTTTTAGTATGGTTTTGTAGAATTATTGCTGAAATTTTATGCTTCATAAAATTAGAAAAGTTAATTGTTTAATTGTCAAGATTATCCATGTCAAATCATTAACAAAATTAATAGTGCGGAGCATACCTTAATTCTTTGAGAATAATTTTTTTGATTCCAGATCTTGAATCTTGATTATTTGCTCTTTTGGTTCTTGAATTCTTGATCTTTATTTCTGCTTCTTGCTTCATAATCTTGATTTTCTTGTTTTTCAATTTAGTTGCTCCAATCCTTTTTTCCTTGATTCTTAATTGTAATCTAAATTCTTGATTGTGGATTTATTGATCGTCCTCTTCAATATATTTTCTATATTAATTCTTGTGTTTATGAGATAGTACAAAGAATGAGAAATTAAATATGAATTGGAGACCATGACCCTATTTATAGTTTCCATTGTATTTGGCACATCGTCAAATACAACCTTAATGGATCCGGTTTGTACACATATAATTTGGCACACACTTTATTTAGATGTCCTAAACTCAACAATTTAATTCTTTATTAGTTCACTTTATTGGGCTCAACTTTAAGATAGCATCATAAACAATTAATTACATATGTAAGCCCGCATGACAAATTAATAAACCCAACAATCTCTCACTTGGGCCACATATGTTACCTTATAAATGTTTATAACCTTATAACATCAAAACTTTTGTTATCATAACCAAAAGCGTCTCCGAACAATTTCGCCCATTAATTATATCAATATATGATCAAAACGATTTTCGTTACAAATGTCATAACTAAACCCTCTATGGTCGCGTATATCAACACAATCAAATGACACATATCAAGTGTGGATGTGTAACATGAAAATTACATATAATGTGATCCAAACATGCCTATTTCCAACTGGTTCTACCTTATTTTTTTTAATGAGATCAATCATAATCAGAGTGTAACTGAATTAAATACTTTATTTCTGAAATAAATCGAATATTCATAAATAAAAAATATGTGTCTAAAACAGAAAACATCTGAATACAAACTCCCACTATACTGGCATATCATCAAAAAATGAAACACCCATGTGAGTATCATGCTCATGAAAGACCTTGGATGGTAGCCATTTAGTAAATGGATTCATGATTATGGAGTTTGTCCTAACATGCTTTATAGAAACCTATCCACTATGAATTCTTTCCTTGACAATTAGGAACTTAATGTCTATAAACTTTGACATCATCAGGCTCATGTTGGAATACAAGATTGTTATTGTCACGGAATAACTAAAGCGGTGTTTCAAATCCATCCAAAATATGCAGCCTAATTACAATATTTTGCAGTCATATTCCATGATCAGAATCAATATCCAAAGATCTCCAATTTGTATGAATTTTCCTGAATGTGATCATGTAATCCTTAGTTCTCTATAGATACCGAATAATCTAATGACTGCTTTCCAAATTTTCATCCCAAAGTTAATTAAATATCTGTCTAACAGTCGAACAATGAAAGTATATCCAAATGTATACAAACTTAAGCATACATTAAACTCCCAACTACTGAAGTATAGGAAATTTCTTGTATTGCATTTTCTTTAAATTCATCTTTAGGGCATTTATTGAGACTAAACTTATCTTTCTTAACAATAAGGGTATCATTTGGTTTACATACCTGCATCTCAAATCTCTCAAGAACTTTATCGATACAACTCTTTTGTGATAAAAAAAAACATTGAGAAAGATTCCTGTGTATCTATATCCTTAATACAAAAAAGGCGTCATCAAAATTTTTCATTTCAAAATTCCATGACGGAAATCTCTTGGTTTCGAACAATAAGCTTATATCATTGCAGGCAAGCAGTATGTTATCGACATATAACACCAAAAAATATGCTTTCTCACAAATGCTATAACAGTCCTAAAAGAGTTTTTCATAGAAATGGAGAAAAAGTCTCTTTAATGTCAATGTCTTCTTTTTGAATAAAGTCATTTGCAATAAGACGACCCTCATATCTCTCCACATCACCTTTCAAATCCTTTTTTATTTTAAATATCCAGTTACAACCAATGGGCTTTGCATCTTCAGGCAACGTGACGAGTTCTCAAACGTCATTGTTACTTATGAACTTTATCTCTTTATGCATGACATCAATCCACTATTTAGAATTATTTATTTGTATGGCTTGATAAAAGTTGATTGATCAGTTCTTCTTCCATCAATCAATGTCATCCTTATTTTCTTGGAGAAAGAGTATAAAGTTATCTGGAATTACATCTCTTTTATAGTAGATTTCTTTAATGACATTTGTTCTTGAGGTTGTTAAGTTAGTTTTTTTTGGAACAATCTTTTGATTGTGTATATGAGATTTTGTAATATTGTCTTGATCCGAAATTACTTTTTGAACTAGATCTAGAGCAAGAATTTGTCTCTGATCTTGATTATTCTCAATTGCAATAGAAGAAATATATACATATTCTTCCTCCAAGACAAAATTCTTAACCTTAAAACTTTATCTCCCCCGCAACCTCTATATCCTCAAGGAATCGGATATTTCCTGTTTCGAAAATTGACCTAATAGTGGGATCTTTTTAAAAATTTGCAACCTCTTAACAATTGCTTTACTTGGAACTTTATTGAGAATTTAAGCTACAGTCTTTAGTATTTCTGCCTAGAGAGATTCTGATGTGCTATGGGATGATTCCACATTTCTCTAGGAATTTAGTAAAAAGCCCTGGACGTTGGTCTCCTGATTCGTCATATCTGTCATAGTATTCACCTCTATAGTAAGATCTGACTTGTTAAATTCTTTTATAGAATTTTTTTTTCAACCTCAACCTCATATGCCTTGAACATGTCTAGTGCTTGGGATTTCTATAGATGAGATATATGTAGCCTTAGTAAAAAAAAATTCATCTATGAACATTCTAAATTATTTTTGACCATTCCAAGAAGTCAAATAAATGGTCAATAGATATCCATATGAATTAGTTATAAGACGTCCAAAGTCCTATTGGTACCTAATCTTCTTATGTTTGTTTGTTTTCCCTTAATGTAATTAACACAAACACTCAAATTTGAAAAATTAAGGGAATTAAGAATTCTTTCAGACACAAGATTTTTCATTCTCTTTTGAGAGATGTTACCTAATCGCTTGTGCCGTAACGAAGCTAAATTCTCATTGGTTAATTTATGTTTAATACCATGTGAATTCACATGCAATGTTTCTTTATAAGAGACAACTGTATTAAGCAAATACATGTTATCGTAATCGGATAAAGAACTGGTACTCACAATATTTGAACTAAGAAAAATATCAAACTAACTATTTCCAATTGAACAAGAGTAATCGAATTTGTGCAATGTAGAAATAGAATAAAAGACGGTATCGCAAATATCTCTTTCATATTCAAATCATAACCAGTTTTTAATAATAATTTAAAAGTCCCTATAGCCTCAAGCTTAATTGATTTGACATTGCCCCCACATAGATGAATCTTTTAGCATCAATTAGCTTTTACCTGTTCAGGCAACCTCGCATAGATACACTTATGTGAGTGGTGGCACCAGAATTTTATCTACCAAGTGTGTCTAGGTATTGAAACTAAATTAACCTATAAAAAATCAAAGCGAGAAATGTATTTTTCTATACACGCAAAGTGTGGTATTTAATAGTATCACTCTTTATGTATCCCAGATTTTCACAAAAATAACAAGAAGATTTATCATTTTCAGTCTTTCGTTGTTTATTTTGAACCAAACCGGATGCAACTTTCTAATTCTTGTAACTTGTCCTTAGAGGTACTTACCAAGTGAGTAATATCAGTTTTATCTTGCTTTAGCCCTTCTTTTTCTTATACACAATATGGAATGAGCTCATTAAGAGTCAACTTTCCCTTTTAACAGTTGTAACTCACCTTAAATTAGACGAATTGTGCAAGAATAAAAATCAAAACTAAATGCATAAGCAAGTCATCTGACAACTCAACCTTTAATGCTTTTAGTTTTGAAGCAAGATGAGACATCTCCTTGACGTACTCCCTTATATTTTCTTTACCCTTATACTTTAGTGAAACTAAGTTCGCTAAAAGCGTGCTAGTTCGGGCCTTATTGCATTTCAATTTCATCAAGAAACTCCTTGACGATAGTTACATTATCGGACACAACGTCCATGAATGTTGCTGAAATTTCACATTTCATGATCATAAGACTTATTTGGATTGAATGATTCCACTTATCTGAGTCTCATTTTTATTAGCGGAACTTTTATCCGTAAAAGTAATAGGTTCTTCACTCCTAAATGCAAGGTCTAGATTCATGCCTCCAAAATTCATATATAAACATTATCTTTCGAGCCCTTAAAATTTGGTTCTAGCACAAGAATTAAATTGATGTTGGCAGATATTCTAGAAGTATATGGATTAACCGAATAGAAAACTTAAACCTAATTAACATGTTTACATAGGAATCCGTTTTGGACAATCAATAATTTCAAATAATGGTGAATCCCATCACAAGAGACCGAACACAACATTGATATTTAGTTTTTGGACAGAAATACCAACTTGTAAGTGTCACTCTTGGTGTAGTAATCAAATATTGACAACAAATTCGGTCAAACATCAAGTCTATATTTGCATCGACTCAATGTTCACATAACGAAAAACTTTACAATACATATTTATCTTCACAGGTGTGTAAATAATTCGGCCAAATATTAACATTCATTTGGTTCGGTCAATACCCGCATGAATTACACACACACAACCTTCTTAATATTTCAAATAAATTAATTTTGGTAAGAGATGTTACTTTGGTAACATGTTGTTTCAACTAATCTATTCTAAAAAATTAGTAATTCGAAAAAAAATTTAGTTTCAAGATTTGAAATTTGATTGTCCCTTTAGTCTTTCAATTTTTTTTTCACAAAAAAATAGATAGAAGTAAAGAAAAACAATAATACTCCATCCGTCCCAATTATATAGCTTGTTTCGTTTTTTACACGGATTAAGAAAACTTCTTTAATGTCTTTGAAAAATTAATTTTTGTCAAGATCTTTTCTAGGTTACCCCTATTTAATTTTCAGTATGTAAAACTAAATTATTATTGGAACTAATAAAGAATTTGAAGAAGAAGAAGAAGAAGAAGAAGAAGAAGATATGAGAGTTGTTCCATGTTTCCAAGAAATGGGAAATGTGTGTATTTGGATGATTTCAAGAAGTTGATATATTAAGAATGAAAAATTAATTTTTGTCAAGATCTTTTCTAGGTTACCCCTATTTAATTTTCAGTATGTAAAGCTAAATTATTATTGGAACTAATAAAGAATTTGAAGAAGAAGAAGAAGAAGAAGAAGAAGAAGATATGAGAGTTGTTCCATGTTTCCAAGAAATGGGAAATGTGTGTATTTGGATGATTTCAAGAAGTTGATATATTAAGTGGGGAAACTTTAATAAGGGTATATTAGTAAAGGAATATAACAAAATATTCTACATTAGAACTAGGACTATATATTTGGAACAAGAGAAAAAGGAAACTCAGCCTATATAATTTGGATGGATGGAGTAATAAAAATCAGCAATTCAGCCTCGCAACGCCCGGAAGTGGATGATAATTGTAATGCGAAAGTGTATTCCAATTTTTCTCAGTCATAGCCAAGTGTTGCCATTTTTGTTCCCGAATTTTCCAGTAAAAAATAAAATGTTGGCCAAGAGACAGGTAGACTGTAGTGCTGATTTTTATCCTTCCTCGTGACAGAAATAAATGTTAAGCACTTTCCAAGCTACACACCGCATGCATATAGTGTGATTCAAGAAAGAGATCCAATAAATTACGTACGTTCAAATGGCCGTTATTAATTTTACCATACTCAAATTCAACAATTAATTCCTAAAATTTTCAAATTTGAAAACACACAAAAATCTTAATTCTTGAGATGTAGGGTTAAAATTCACGTCCCAAAATCAAAAATTCCAACTTGGAGTTGGCTCCAATACTACTTGTTGAAACTTTAAACTTTATAAAACTAAAAAAGCTAATTGTTTAATTGTCAAGATCATTCATGTCAAATCATCAAGAAAATTAATAGTGCGGAAAATTCAACAATTAATTCCTAAAATTTTCAAATTTGAAAACACACAAAAATCTTAATTCTTGAGATGTAGGGTTAAAATTCACGTCCCAAAATCAAAAATTCCAACTTGGAGTTGGCTCTAATACTACTTGTTGAAACTTTAAACTTTATAAAACTAAAAAAGCTAATTGTTTAATTGTCAAGATCATTCATGTCAAATCATCAAGAAAATTAATAGTGCGGAACATACCTTTAATTCTTGGTGAATAATTTTTTATTATTAGATCTTGATTCTAGATCTTGAATATTGATTAGTGGCTCTTTTTTATCTTGGGTTCTTGATTTCTGTTTCTTGCTTCATAATCTTGATTGTCTTGTTCTTCAATTTAATTGGTTCAATCCTTTTTTTCTTGATTCTTAATTGTAATCTAGATTCTTGATTGTAGGTTTCTTGATCTTCCCCTTCAATATGATTTCTCTATTAATTCTTGTGTTGATGAGATTATACAAAGAATGAGAAATTATATATAAATTGGAGACCATAACTCTATTTATAGTTTTCATATGTATTTAGCTCATTGTCAAATACAACCATAATGGATCCAATCTCTACACATATAATTCGGTTCACACTTTATTCAGATGCCATAAGGTCAACAATTTAATTCTTTATTGGATCACGTTAATTGGACACAACTTTAAAATAGCCTCATATACAATTAAGGGAAAAATTCATGGATCAGGTTTTAACAATCACCAAATCAATTTTCACGCTTTAAGTTTAAAAATTGAGAAAATTAGGCATTTATTAATTAATTAAATATATTAAAATCACAATTACACAATTCATGGTCACGTATACATACTTATGGGTCACAACTTATTTATTGGTCACATTTTACAAATTAATTGGTCACAGATTATTTTTCAATCACAAATCAGAAAATTTATATGTCACAAATTATTTTACTGTCACAGATTAAAATTTTCATAGGTTACAAATCAAAAAATTAATAGGTTACAAGTCACAAATCACAAATATTATGAATCACAAATTATTAGTCGGTCACAAATTATTAAATTATCAATCACAAATTAATAATTTTTTAGGTCACGTATAATTTCATGGTCACAAATTATTTTTTCATTAGTCACAAATTAATTAATTTAATGATCACAGTCGACCAAATAATTGGTGACCACCACCAACACTTGCGACCTCCGGTAGCACAACAGCCTCTGACATGCCAGAACCACCACCACCGTCGCCAAACCACCGTCTCTAGAACCACTACCACCTCACGACAATTAGGAACATCGTAATCTCCATCTCTTCAACACCACCACCACTGCTTAACCACCACCAACACCCGCGACCTCCGACAGCATCATCGCCTCCGGCGTGCTAGAACCACCGCCTCCATCGCCAAACTACCGTCTCCAGAACCACCACCACCTCACGACAACCAGTAGGAACACCGTACTCTCCATCTCTTCCCCACCACCACATCCACCTCCTCATCACCACCACAACCACCAACATACCACCAATTTCACTACAAAACCACCACCACACAAAACACCACACAACCCTAACCACCAGATCCATAGCCACCACCATAAAAACCGTCAGATTCACCACCACAAACCCCGCCACCACACAAAACACCGTCGGCGCAGCAACGTAACATCGCTGTGCTTCGGCTGCGAAGAGTTGCTAGAGTGGGTGGATCTGCTTCGCAACTCACATCGTGCTCCTTCTGGGTGAAATGGATTGATGGTGGTTATGGGGTTGGGCGACGACGGCGGATGGTGGCGACAGAAAGGTGAGGAGTGATTGAAACTTCTGTCGCGTCGCGCACAGTTTTACAGTAGCGATTGAAGCTCCTGGCCGGCGATATAGATTGACGGTGATGATGGGTCCGGGTAACGACGGTGAGCGGGGACAACGAAAAGGTGAGGAGTTCGTGGTCGAAAGAGGCGGCGGGGACGAGAAGGTGAGAGAGAATGGAGGGAGGCGTTTGGGTGGGTTTAGAAAGAGAATGGGGAAAATATTTGAAGCCCGGTGTATTTAGAGAGAGTGTATGAGAGAGAAGAGTGAGACGGGGGAATGGAAATAAATTAGGGTTTTAATTAGGGATGGGCAAAACCCGACCGAACCTACCAAAATCGCCCAACCCAAACCAACCCAATCGGTTTGAGTTGATTTTTTGTTGTTTTTACACGGGTTGGGTAGGTCGGGTTATAGGTTAACTCATGAAAATCGAATAAACCAGCCCACCCGAACCACCTACTTAAAAATTAAAAAAGAAATAAGAAATAAAATACCCAAAAAGTAAAAAGAACTTAAAAAGTATGAGTGGTTAGTATAACTCTAATTAGTTTGGAGCATTTTAGAGGAGGAATTTACTCTCCTTCCCACAAGAATATAACTTTTCTATGTTATGTTAAATGCAATTTGTTCTTTGTAGGCTCGGCTAATGAGAATTGAATAAGATAATAGATAATTTTATTTATTTATTTACTTATTATTTAATATTGTCTATTCGAATTTAGTATAATAGACAATTGGATGACTTTAATTTTTTGTTGACAAGTTGTCACAAATCGATCAACCCAACTCAATCTCATCGATACTTGATTGGATTGAGTTGGGTTTCAACCTTTACACGGATTGAGTTGAGGTAAAAACTGATCCAACTTAACTCATGCTCATCCCTAGTTTTAATTATAAATTTAATTAATACCTGATTTTTGATAAAATAAACTTTAGATCTGATTTTTGAATTTGAAAAATTAAATGTCTGTTTTTCTTTAATTTCCCCTACAATTAATTACATATATATGCTCACATGACAAATTAATAACAAAAATGCTAAATGTACATAACATTGGTTCACATTCACTTTCACATCCCTCTCACATAGGGGGTGGATATGTGATTTTTAAAATTGTGGACCCCACCCCATATGTGAAAGTGAATGTGAACCAAGTGTATAAGTGTAGCATTACTCAATTAATAAACCCAACAATTATGTCATTTGTACATTCAAGGTTGACATCATTGTCGACATTTGCCTTGCTGTAAAAAAGTGATTGAATGAGAAACTGTTTTTTTTCTAAAAACTGACAAATGACACTGTCACATGGCAAAGTGGAAATCATGGCATACACCAATCATGATTGGGTTTAATAATATGATAGAAACTTTTATGACATTTATAGTGCTGATTGGGTGGAGAGTTGGATAAGGCGGATAGTATAGAAGTAAGAAAAATAAATTAAAATCCTATTCGGTGTTATATAGTCTTGTTGTATCATAGATGCATTTGTATCGTAGAATCTTGTTGCAACAGCATTTCTCACCGTCTGTCCATTGGCACTCCACATTTACTCTTGTCCAGCACAAGACAATCTTATTTTCCTCGAGAAATGGTTCGACAAATTCCCAGAGTTCAAGAACAGGGATTTTTATATCACAGGAGAGAGTTACGGAGGTATGTATCTCTTCCCCGAGTACTGTTTTGAGCATATTTGGCTAAGCTTATAACTTACTTTTAACAATTTTTTTTGGCCATGTTGAGCTTTCTTTTGAGATTTTTAGTTCTCCAGAAAAGCACTTATAGTTTTGTAAAGCTTAGCCAAGCATTGTAACTAAAGTTTCTGTATATTAACAGGACATTATGTTCCACAACTTGCCAATCTCATTTTACAATCCAAAGCAAAGTTCAATCTCAAAGGAATTGCTGTGAGTAATGTCGTATAACACAAACCTTTCTTGAATGGAGCAATCAATTTTTTTTTTAGTAATTCTTGATTTTATGGTGATTTCAGATTGGAAATCCACTACTGGAATTCAACACAGATTTTAATTCCAGAGCGGAATTTTTTTGGTCTCATGGACTAATATCTGATGCCACTTATGAACAATTTACCAAAGTTTGTAACTATTCTCAAATTAGAAGGCAATTACAGAATGGAAATCTTACACCGGTGTGCTCTCATGTGATAAATCAAGTTTCAGCAGAGCTCGGTAAATTTGTAGACACATATGATGTTACTCTTGACGTTTGTTTGTCAACAGCTTCTATGCAATCTGAGGTTCGAAATCATTTGGTAACGTTACATTTCTGGCTGTTATGTTCTAATCCATAAGGTAGTCTAATTTTCTCGAGTAACTAATTTAGTTTTCTGGGATTTCATGAGTTATTCACAGAAGGATAAGCCAAAAATAGATGTGTGTGTTGAGGATGAAACAACTATGTACCTGAACAGAAACGAAGTGCAGAAAGCTCTCCATGCTCGTCTTGTAGGAGTCGATCAATGGACTGCTTGCAGCGAGTATTTCATCCTTCCTCATTTCCTGTTCTATTCAACTTACTGCAAAATCTAATATTCCGTTTTCATTTTCTTGATACAGGGTTCTACATTATAAGATGCAAGATCTAGAGGTACCAACAATTGGCATTCTAGGATCCCTTGTCAAGTCTGGTATTCGCGTGCTGGTCTACAGGTAAATAACAAGAACAAATTGTTAGCCAAAGCACTTTCATGCAGGTTTGATATAATAGAGAACCAGTGGTAGATTTAGGAATCTAGGTGAGCAAGGGCGAAAGATAGACGGCCACTCAAGCAGCCGCCCAATATAAGGAAAAAAATTCCGACAGAGCAAGCACGGGCTGCTGTAGGGGCTCATAGGGTGTTGGCTCCACCTCTATAGAGAACACTCGATAGTAGAAAAAAGAGAAAAATAAGTTAAAATGTTTTTTATCGTACTATCATGTACCCTGTTTAGATCACTCACGATGAATCGTATAAATCTCTGCAGTGGAGATCAAGATTCAGTTCTCCCACTGATGGGAACTCGAACACTGGTTAATGCATTGGCAAAGGAACTGGGACTAAGCACAACAGTGCCATATAGTCCTTGGTATGAGGGAAGACAGGTTTGGAATTCAATCTGTATGTGAATTTAGTAACGATTAAGAGACCTTGAAATTGATCTCTTGCCCCCAGCTATGAGTAAGGTTTTCTCACATGAATAGTAGAAAGTTTTTATCCTACCTACTGGGAACAGGAGATCAGGTCTGAAAGAGACCTATTCTTGAATTTTTCTTTCTGCTTTGCAGGTAGCTGGATGGACACAAGCATATGGATACTTTTTATCATTTGCTACCATAAGAGGAGCTTCTCATAAAGCTCCGCATTCTCAGCCAGAGAGATCACTTGTTCTGTTCGATTCATTTGTAAATGGACAGCGACTTCCACAGGTGAATGGCATGACACAGGAAAGAAATCCATTGACTCGACTCACCCAAACCTGAGAGCCAGTGGAAACATCGTTGACTTCGATTTTTCTTTAGATGATCATATCATACGAGTAGTTCTGTCAGAAGATTTTGTAAACAATAATACATCACCCTCGAAATTAGATATTATGATTGTCGATCGTGATTTCAAAATTCATCTGGAAAAATGGCAGCCATATTTATGATGGCTCGAGGAGCACAAGAAATTTCATTTTATGCATCTAATTCCCATCCATTTACATGCCATTTCAATCATATACTTTAAGAACTGAAATTGATTGTATTTGAAAGAAGAAAAAATGAGAAAATTCAGTTTCCCGTTTCGTCCCCTTCTTCCTCCACATAATAGAGTTCACTCAGAAAAATGCAGGCCAGAAACAAGCAATGCACGCAAGTGCCAAACGTGAAATTTATAAGCTGCAAATAAACATGCTCCAGAATATGAACTAGACATTGAGAATATTCAATTCATTATTTTTTTTCCAATAATTGTACTCCGCAGGGCAAAAATAAAAGTGTCTCGCCGTTAAGTTTAAACAGAAGAAAATTATCTAGCTTAAACAAAATATGCTTCTTGGTAAATTATGCTTTGGCATGGAGCGAGTATCATCATTCTCAGTAAAGTAGCAACAAATCAATCGTGCAGTGTTCCCAGAATATCATCATCCCGGTACAGATGATACCTGTAATATCATCAAGAATTCCAAAATTAGCATCGAATTCACATAAGTTTCAACACAACAAATACATCCAAGAAAATTGTTGTGTTAAGAAGCAAAGTGAAAAAAGAAGATTTAGTTGGATATAGATAGTCGATGGTCAGGACCATAGGCATTCAATCTGTTGTACAAAGACAGGGAAGATTGCCTAATTTAAAGCAATGCTAGTACAGAAACTTTCCGCATTTAAACAGGCCAAAAGTCCGCCGAATTTAATTGCTCCAACATGTCAAATTTACAGCCACAAAAATAACTTAATCAAACCTTAATGTTGTCCACACTTGTTTTTGGAATATTTCCCTTTCAGGCAGGAGGTTAGGTTTTTCTCAGGAGATGTAAGCAGATGTTTTCATTTCAACATGAAGCAACACAGTACTAGAATAGTTGAAGATGATTAATTAGTTTATTGGATGAATATTTTGGGAGATAGTTGTTTCCCATCAAGAGATCTAAGTAACATATTCCTGTAGAAAAAATATCACTGCAGACGACGAGAAGTGATATCCATCACAATGTTCATCATTATATCATTAATCACATTGCACCGAAATAATAAATAAATAAATATACCCAGAAAGTCAGCAATGAACTGGATAGGGTTCGCAGTCACTTGTGGTAGTGATATTTTAAGACAGATATTAGAGAAAGACAATCCAAATTTAGAGCACTGAACAAGTTAACTACAAATATTTTCAATTCAGTATACAACTTCACGGTAATTTCCATAAAACTAGTTAATCAGTTGTCAATAATGGAAACAAGTTAATTTATTAATTTACTTATCTGAATCGTGAAATTATTGGGCATAAAAAAGCAGCGCATATGAGAATTACAAATTACGAGCAAAAGGAAGAGGACAGAAGACTTACTCCTTTTCCCCAAGCTTCACTTCAGTTCCTCCATATTCAGGCAACAAAACATGATCTCCTTCCTTCACACTGATCGGAATCAGCTTTCCTTCCTTATCATGATAACCAGGACCAACAGCAACAACTTTTCCAGAATTCAGCTGAATCATCATGGGGGAATCAATTTTCAGCAGTGCAAAGAGAGAAGTTTCAATAAATACAATATGGTCTCCAGTATTTGAAATACACTCCAGCAATTCAAATAAAGACTGATCTTAAAAAATATAGCCCCATCCCAAATACCAACTGACGTAATCTATAAGTGTAGAAATTTTTATGTGAAGTTAACGAATTAAAGCATTCATCGTTGATATACCCAAACAACCATAGTCCCCAAAAAATAAATAATGTCGTAAATGCCCTGAAAAGTACTATCTCAGAAGCACAAGGATAGTGTCAAACACAATTCAGAGATTATCCCATTCTCAGGTAAGAGTAATGTACAACCTCTAAATCATAGTGTTATACTGTTATACACGTTCTTGCTAACAGGGTAAAATACAATATATGAGGCGCAGAAGATAGTTCTCTAATAGTTGCATATGCTTTGGTAAAAGTAAAATAAAACTTTAAAGCAAAATGATTATGTACTATATTCTTCAAAAGTATACCATTATCTACCAAGAAAATTTCAGGAGTGCTATAAATTTCCCTCCAATTAGCACGCCAGGAACTCTATTGTTACTATGCTTATCCATTTGGATCGTATATCAACAGTAAACAAGAAATTAGAGAGTAACATAACTCGAATACGTATGGAAATATTAAACTAAATAAAATACTCGTAAAAAACCCCCCATATAAAAAGATCTATATACGTGCTCAAAATCTTTGTCAGCATTTAATTGCGATGTGCAAATCAGACCCACAAGCCAAAATTATCCCTAGAGTAAATCTCTTCTAAAAGCATGTATATCTTCGAACATATTACATAGATATAAGCAAAGCCCAGAACCAAAAAGAACCCACTGTGAAAAACAAAAGATTAGTTATAATAAGTAATAAAAGAAGTATAAACGAGGAAATGGTTGTACCTTGGTGGTTTTCTCAGGGAGGAGGATTCCAGAGTTAGTTTTTGATGGAGGGATGATTTTCTCAACCAAAACCCGGTTCAGGAGTGGCATCAATCGCTTAGCCATTGGTTACTTTGCGAGAAGAAGAAAAATCCAGAGGCAAAAAATATGAATAAGAGCACTAGGGTTTAGGGATTTCCGAAGTAAAAGCCTAAGAGGTTTAAAGAAGGAGGCTGGATTTGGACGTGTTTTAAAATTACCAAAAGGACCTTCATATTTTGCAGAGTTAATTTAATGAATCCTCACCATTCTTTAGTCTATATTACTACTTGCTCACTGAACAATAAAAGATTACCCGTTGCTCACCCATCTATCTAATATATTTCACGTTCATCAACCGTTTGAATTCCGTCAAATACAACTAACGGAATGTCCAACATGGCAAATGGAAATCCTACGTGGTACTAACGGAAGTTAATTGAATCCTAGTGGGCCAAAATTGCAAAAGCCATGACATTTCATCACTTTTCCAAAAAAA